ACAGGAAAAAAAAAAGCAAGCCCCCCCCCCCGAAAAAAAAAAAAAAGGAAAAGAAAAAGAAGGCAACAACGTTATGGTCGTGAAAGCACCTGGAAAAAAAATCGGTAGAACGTATGAGACTGTGCCGAGTCCCACTACCAGCGTTGAGCTACCTCAACGCTGCTAGTGGGACTTGGCCCCGGGGGAGGGCATTATAGCGTGAAAGTCGTGAAAGCACCTGGATACAAAATCTGTAGAAAGTATGAGAATCACATCAGAATTAGGGTTTCGACTTCTGGTGTGTTCGACACATGATGCCTTGCTCGCTGCGGACATATTTTGCCTGATTGACAGTATTGGGCTTGAGACCTTGCTCGATATGGGGAAACGGTAGAATTGGTCCATAGGGTTCTTCCCACATGAACACAGATCACATCAAAATTCGGGTTTCGACTTCTGGTGTGATAGGCACATGATGCCTTGGTCGCTATGGACATATGGTAGGTAGACTAGGTAGATAGGGTTCTCCCCTCATGGAACATGTTTTGGTTGATGAACAAATACAGACAGGTTTGATTGATGAACAAATACAGATAGTACTAGATACAAACTAGGACACAATTAATGGGTGGATAGGGTTCTTCCCCCATAGAACATGTTTAGATTGATGAACAAATACACAGTAGGACACAGACACATATGGATGTATAGAGATGCTGGACCCCATTTCCAGCAGACACATATCACATCTTTGTATAGGGGCGCTTGACCCGATTTCCAGCAGGTGCAGCTCCCCACCAATAGATGGAGCCTTCGACGCTGGGGCCTACTTACCGGGGATGCTCTTACCACCTCGTTAAGTAGGTTTCCTGTATACGAAGTTAGGAAAAAAAAAAAAAAAAAAAAAGAGGAGGCCGTGAAAAAAAAAAAGAAAAAAGAAAAAAAAGGCTATGATTCAGTTGGCCTCGTGTACCTTCCTGGGCATACTTGGCGCCCGCCACCTAGAGATAGACCACTGGATCCCCCGATCGGCATTTAGCAGAGTCTGCTGATGTTCGTAGGGGGGTGAGGACCACTACCTGAGGGGAGGGACAGGGATGGGTCCTGTTGGCATGGTCCCTGATGCTACCGGCTGTCCCCTACCCGGTATTTTCCCCTAGCCGGTATCGCCTACCTGCAGGTCGCGAGCAGCCCCCCCATGTTCTATCGTGAACACAGTTCTGGCTACTACATACGATTAGGAGTAGTGGTAGGTGTAGGTAGTGTGAGGTGAAATTGAGAGAAGAATATATTTTTTTTGGAGAAATAGCATAATTTCATTATAAAGGCAAAAGGAGGCCAGGAATCCTTCCACATCTCAACCCGGACAGAGGAACCAAGCCTCAGAGAGGCTAACTGGAAACCAGGTCCAGTGTCCCATGCTCCTATCCACAATCTTGCTATTTCTGAAGAAAAGGAAAAATAGGCAATTGAAATCTACCAAAAGACACAAAGGGATGAGCTATCTCTCTATCCATGATCCTACAGACATTCATGTCCGGGACCATTACCCGGCCTCGCTTCGTGGGAGTCTATCTACGACTCACCAAAATGGGTCTCCTTACACACTCCTAAAAGAATCCTAAAATTTTTAGGAGGAGTCCTAAAGTTTTTTTAGGATTTCGTGCGGCGTCGTTACACGCAGTCCTAAAAATCATCTTTTAGGACTCGTCCTAAAAGGTTTCCCGCGGCCTGTTTTCATACGCGTATACGCAGCCGCGCCGCCGATGTCCGTCCATTCCTGGGCGGTGTCCGTGGTACAGACTGTGGTGGGCCTTGGGCGGGAGTCGACGGATCGGTGAAAAGCGCGGTTCCCCAGAACTTCAAAATTTCGAATTCGAATTCTCACGGACGCAGGGTGGGTGGGCGGCGGGCGGCCAGGCGACGCGTGTGACGTGAAAAAGACGGCGCCTCCCTGCCGTTCGGCGCGCGGAATCCATCTTTCGAGTGTACGCAACTTGCGAGCAGCGGGCGCATCATCATGTGAGCTGCACGTTCGCCTCCGGCGTGCGTACCGTCCTTTAGAAGCGTGGAGCAGCGGGCGCGTCTTCGTCTCCTGTGCCATCGTACAGCAGCGTTCCCATCTTGGACTCCGGCGTTCTTTGTCTACAACGGCAGGGTTCCGCAGCGGGTGTGTCTGAGGCGGCTGTCGAAGGCGTGATGCGGCAAACCATGCGAAGATTGCCAGAGATGGACAGTCACGGCTGCTCAAACGGTCTTCGCAAGAGAGATCGACGCCATGGCGATGGCAGTGACTGCCGTCGTCGTGAACACGATGGGCGACATGGAGTCCTGGTCGCGCGACATGCTGTTGCGGCTCCGCCAACGAAGAGCGCTGTTGCAGAACGTTGCAGAGGCGCCGGATTGCGCGGCGACGTGTGAGGCAATCGTCCAGTTCTGTGTCGCGCTGTCGTCTGGCGTTTTCCCGCGGCAAACTCCGCGGTGGTGGATTAGACAATGGACTCGCGGGACATGGGAGGACCTCCAGCTTCGGGACGACGTGACGGACGAGTACTTCCGGCAGAATCTGCGCATGTCGACGGCCATGTTCAACCAGATCGTAGCCGCGTGCGCCGCGTACATGGAGAAGAAGGTGACGCACTATCGAATGCCATTGCCAGTGGAGCAGCTGATTGCTTTCGCGTTATATAGGTGGGCGTCCGGAGAGACGTACGAGAGCGGCACGTCAGCATTCGGCATCGGCAGGGCAACTGGACTACAGGCCGTCCACGACGTCACTTCGGCGCTGCTGCAGGCGTACCCCGACGCGATAATGTGGCCAGTGGGTAGGAGACGTGTGCAGATTCTGCGCGCTTTCCGTGAGAAGGGTTTCCCAAACTGCTTCGGCGCTATCGACTGTACACACATCTATATTGACAAGCCCGCCGGCGCACCTTCCGAGAACTACTATGACCGCAAACAGAAGTTCTCCGTGCAGGCGCAGGTGGTTGTGGATTTGGATCTGCGGATCCTCGACGTCCACGTGGGATACCCTGGAAGTGTGCACGACGTCCGTGTCCTGCACAATTCCCTGTTGTTTAGGCGTGCAGAAAGTGGCGAGCTGTTCGACGCAACTCCGAAGAATCTGCCACACGGTTTCGTCACGCGAGGCTACCTGCTGGGCGACAACGGTTATCCAGTTGCCTGTCCGTGGATTGTGCATCCGTACGGAGGAATCAACCAAGATGCTGACGAGGAGCGCTTCGACACGCGGCAAAAGGTGGCACGGGGGTGTGTGGAGAGGGCATTCGGCCGACTCAAGTGCATGTGGCGTCTGTTCTTGCGCACCCATAAGACGAACCGGGAGACCTTGCCACAACAATTCGTTGATGTTTGCACTCTCCACAATATCCTCCTGGATGTGGGGATCGACTTCGACGAGAACCTTCTATGGGAGGTGAATGCGAACGGCGTTCGGCGTCGAGTGGACTTGGGCATTGTGGGGAACGACGCACGCGGGCGGGGACGGTGCGCAAACGTGGAAGGGAAATTGTTGGGGGATGCACTGCGAGACCGCCTAGCTTTGATGTAGGACCGTGCGGTCGGGAGGTCGGGCGGGGGGGGGGGGGGGGGG